TTGAGTTATATTATTTTTGTACATGATAAATATATGCTATGTTAAAAATATAAACTTATTTAATTTTGATAATTTCAGTACTTTCGGTTTGGTATCGGTATTGCAAAGTTTCGTACCGAAAATTTTCAATAATTACCGGTACTGATACCGAAAAATATTTTCAGTATCAGTTTTATGAAATACAATACCGAATAGTACTGATTGGAACCCTACTCCTAGATTTGGTAGTCAGTGCCAATCAATGGTCAACCAGAATATTTACTAGGGAGGGCATACTTGTGTCGAAGAACAGTGTTACCATATACGGATGTGTGCGGTGGAGGTATGATATGATAGGTACTTATTTGGATAGTTATAGAACTATCACATAGCAGTAAAAACTAGGGTATAGATCCACCTACTTGGTGTAAGTTGGTATTCTGGTAAAAAAGGTGAGTAGCAGAAGTTAATATTAGCAATAGTTAATAGACTGTTCATGTATAGATAGTTGTGATCCTAATCGATTAACAATAAAATCCATGTGTGTATCGCAACTTAGCCCTTAAAAAAAAAAAAAACAAACAAACAAACAAATTTATAAAGTTTCATAACATTTAAATAATTTTATATTAATTTATTAATAAAAATGTGTTAAAAAAAATCCTGGTTTTTTTTGCACACTACTGTATATTTATTTATTTATAATTTAATTTATTTCAATTTCTTATAATATAAAAATAATTTATTTTATAATATTACAACCCTAATTCTGATTCCAGCACATTTTCAAAGGAAATAAAGATAAAAACAGGCAGAATTTTCAGTCAATGCTACAGAAGAAACATAAAAAGCGTACGTGAAAAGATAGCAGAAATATATAACACGACTGATATAGTGAATGCGCACAAAATATAGTATATAAAAAGGAAGATACGGGCATCGCTTCACGTTTACATCATATTCTCGCCTTGCCCTATTTGCAAAGGAAAACATGTAAATTACGGATTACATGACGAATGGCATAGAAATAGAACAGAATATTGTCTTATCTGCAATAAACTTAAGTTCGCAATTGTAGCATAGAAATTTTATTATGTACAGAGGGCTAGTCTCGCGTTTGTTTATTTTTTCATCGCGTAATGGTGATCCTATTGATGTCATGTGGTTATGTGATACGTCGATCTTGAAAATGGCAAAGATTCAAAACACCGCGCAAAAGACTCGACTGTCGTTTGAAGATTGGAGACTTCACATTTGACAAGAAGATTGAATACAAAGCAATATCAACATTTGCGTCCATTGTTGCTGTTACTGAAACAGATGAATGTAAAAAAGCCGCTGCTTATTTAAAGTCTACATTGAAGGTTATGTTTTATATTCTATACTAAAAGAAAAGACTGTTTGTGGAAGGAGTCGGAATTTCGTTTCAATGCAACCAACTAAGCAGCTTAAATATCGCTTTTAGGCTAGTTAAGGAGTATCGCCCTCCGGTGGGCTCCTTCTAAATCTATGTGAAGGCATGGAAATATCGTCTTTCCTTGCCAAGAAGTATCGTCCTTCATTCATAGTGTCGAAGGAGTCGTAAGCAGCTTAAGAAGTATCCCACTCCGGTGGGCTCCTAAATCTATGTGAAGGCATGAAAATATCATCTTTTCTTGCCAAGAAGTATCGTCCT